TTCTTTGAAATAAGAAGTCACTCAAGTCTCTTTCTCTTTGTTTCTTGGAAGCCCATAGAGAATATCCTCTTCTATTCAGGAATTTTCCCAAGACTCACCATGCAGCATATTTAATGTTTTCTAAATAATGGCATCATAGATCTGGACTGAGCTTGAGTATTACAAACAGAAAGTACAACACAAGCCTAGGGGCATAAAAGAATCTGCTGTTGGTTATTCCTTCTTGTTACTTCAGGAAGAGTTGCAGGAGTAATTAACTAAAAGTTACTTTTGCAGCATTTAGTGGAGTTGCTGTATTTCAATGTCCTTCTTTCTGTTTACTTGTAGTGAACCCGGGAGGATGGGCTCCTGCATCAGTGTTACGGGCAGTGGCCAAACGAGAATATCCAAAGTTCTTAAAGCGTTTTACATCGTATGTGCAAGAGAAGACAGCAGGAAAGCCTATTTTATTCTAGTACTAGCAGGTATAAATACTTCTAAAATTTTTTTCACCATTTTAAAGGCCAAATGAAAGTATGCAATCTAGGAATATCTTCCATGATTAGCATGGCTTCAGTGCTTGCTTTAGCATGCAATATACTTTTAAAAAACATGTAATTTGTGTGTACGGCTGCACAAGTTAGCCAGCATTAGTTTTCTTAGACTTCTATTGGTTCATTTTGCAAGTTTTTGCATACGTGTCCAATCTACATAGAAGTAAAATAGGATGAAGTACTGGTTTTTTTCAGCTATCACAGGCATTTTGCATTTGTTCTGAAAAAATACATACTGAAGTTACTCTAGAGCCTCATGTGTTTTTTATAACTTAAATTCTACTTACAATTGCGTATTTCATAGACTATTAGTACATTTCAGTTTTCTTTTATATTGACAGAATAGTTTGACCTAGGATTTTTATTAATGGAACTTCACTGACAGACCAGCATGAATTACTAGAATATTTAGAAGACTGTGATTTAAGTTTTTCTTCCTTTCTGATGAACCTAGGAAAGAAAAGGGATTTCCAGATGCTTTCTGAAGTCAATGGAAATATTGTTTATGGTGGAGGTTATTGGCTAATCTAAAGTTTTTTGAACAGTTAGATGATGATATGACGTTAGAAGAGGGTTTCTTGATCACTTTGAGGATATCTGAGCCCCTTAGTGTTAAATAAGGCCTAATTTATTTTTGCTAATTTTAGTTCTGCTATGTATTTCATTTACTATAAGTGCCATGTCAAACCACAGAATTCTGTTTAGTTGAGCTAGTGTTACGGCATCATTCAGTCACATCTGAAGATGAGTCTCTGTCACTTTTTCTATGTGTGACATAGGTTACTTCTATTTTTGGATTCTGTTTACTGTGTCAGACTCCAAGAGTCTTAGTTGTCATTCTTCTGTGACAGGTATCCCTTTAATGATTCACAATTTTAAATTTGTTAGAGAAGCAGTGTAAGTAAAGCATTAGAAACATGGCATCACAACACAACAGTTAGCATGTGATCGTAGCAATCCTGATGATACCTAAGGTGTTTAACAAGTTCATTTTACTCGCAGTATACAAACTTGTCAGTGCTGTATTCTTTTCTTTGCTTACCTGCAGCAATCAGAACAAGACTGGGTGAGCATTCCACATGGGAGAAGTGACCATGCACAGAGCACTCCATGCTGGAACGAAGGATCTACAGTCTTTTTATGGCCCAGGTTCTAGGCTTTGTGTACTGAAGTGAAGAAGTGTTGCAACACCATGGGCCTGAATATTTAACAATAGCTCTCTCCTGCTAACTTTCTTGCTGAATCAGTGTGTAATTATAAATACATGTATTGATAACATGTATATGGCTCTATTTTTATTTGCTTGCTTTAGAAGAAGACAAGCGCATACAGCTTTGAATCACCAACATGGGCTACTGTGTTAATTTTAAACAAGTTGTAGAATTTCATTGTCAACCTTCCTAAGATACTTGTGCAGTTTTTGTGCATGTGTAAAAAGCACAAGAGACAAATGCACATATAGCATACTGTATGTGCTTTATATGCACAAAAATCTGTGTGATATTTTGGGGTCGTTGAAAGGAGTGGCTTCAGTAAAACCTTGGTAACTTGTTGGCAGGTTTTATTTTGCTTTGTATAATCACAGTTCATTGCTGCTGGTTTCTGTAATGAATCATCTTGTTACATAAAATGCCAGTTAATATCTGAGGGCTGTCAATATCCTTATGACTTTGCCTTTTCTATTGTCTTACTCTTATGACGATCTTTAGTTCTGAAGGAGTAAGAGTGTGAAAAGCTTTATTTTTTTCCAGATATCTTTATATTTCTATTGTATTTTTTAGTTGTGTAATATGTGCTGCATAATTTTTGTTATTAAACATGATCCAGAAATACCTAGAAAGATTCTGTATGAGAGGGCAAGAGACTGCCTAAAATCTGGGAGACATCTGTCCATGCTATCTGTGGACTGCTTTCTTGGATGATATCTGGGGCTTTCCCAAAGCTGTGAGAAGGTACAGTATAATATTTATTGAAGTAATTTGGATTACATAAAACAACATTCCCAGTCTAGATTGAGGATGAGTACATTATTTTCAGATCCTGCATGTGTTTTCCTCATCTCAATAAATCTGTGCTATGAGGTTCATGTAGAAAATTATTTGCCTCTTGATCAAAAACTCATCAGAGCTATAAGAATGCATAGTTCTTGCTGGAAAGTTCCCTTTAGCTGCTGTGAAAATTTAAATGTCAGATGTTTGCCTGCCTTTGATTCTGGAGACACTTGTTAAGAGAGGACTGTGTTGGGCTAGTACTGACTGTGAGGTCTTTTATCCATGTCCTATAGTTGGAAACTCTTCAGAGACTGCTCAGTGTTTCACTAAACTGGGTATCTTGAGGAAAAAGTTTCAGATATATTTTCTTTAAAAGAAAGCTGAAAGTCAGATTTATTTGAGATAGTGTGCTAGGTGCCTGAAAAGAGATATAATACAGTAACTTAGTGAAGATTTGGTTAAATGAGTAAATATGATCTGCACAATGTTGAAAAACGTCTCTGTTCATCTTCTCTGTAGAAATGAAACCATATCTAACACATGATTACACACGCATGCAGATTTCATGCTCCATAACTCCTCCCTTTTTATTTGCCTTTCTCTAATGGTGTGCATGGAATATGCCTTATTACAGAGTTATTCTGTTCATTTGAATATGTAGAAAAGTGCCTATATGGTAATGTTAGCAAGGCAAATAAGATGAAAATTTGTACATCTTTACTATATCACCACTGAGCATTTTATATACCAATGTTAAAAAACAAAATCTTATACCTCAAAATGTACGTCATCTTTTTACAATCACCAAGCAGTGGTACATTCCATCATAGCCACTGATGGGAACTTTAAAAAAAAAGTCCAAAATATAAAGAGTTTAACTCCTTATTTGCCATTTCTGGTAATTGTTGGAACACGGGCAAGTTTATTAATTTAATAGGATAGCTTTATTTTACAAAGGTATGGAAAGTTTACAAAGCAGTATATAAACTTATATCATTAGTTGCATTTGCACTAAATGTGATGTACTTTTGCGATTTATTCTGTAAATAAAATGACACTACAGATACTATTTGTAAAGAGTATGTTTTACTTTTAGATAAAGGCACTGGTACTTCACTGTAGCTAGCCCTGCCCAATCAGATTTGTAAGAGGTTTTTTAAAGACCATGGAAGGAGTTACGTGACTGAGAAATCATTATTAATGGACCTCTGGAAAAGTAATCTCATAAGGCAGTAGGCCTCTCATATTGTCCTTGTGTGAGTAGCCATTAGATCCTTTCTTCTGGAAGGGATGTTGTTTTTATGGTTTCATACAATTTACCCTGTCTCTTGAGCCCATCTCTCTTGTCAGTCACTGCCACGTCTGTGCGCTCTGAGTTCATTTCCTCCTGTTAACAGATCAAGAGTGTTAACACAGCTGTGGTGGTCTTTGCAGAAGCAGCTTCTGACTCTAGAATGGTTGTTTTGTAAGCTAAACCAGTTCAAAAGGCTGAAAATGCAGCAATCATAGGATATTGTTCTCTGGATATCTGCATCTATTTGGAGAATTTGGATGTTGCCAAACTAGATCTGAAGGACATGACTTGATAGAACTTGTACTGGGAATGAAGATGAGATGGTCATTGTTATTCTGTCTGAGAACCTGAAAATCTTTGACAAATTTATCTGTGAAAAATGTGATGCACTTTGTAAAAACCTTACCTTTTACTTAATTGGGCTGAGCTGGCTTATCTGAAGTTGTGCAGATTCTCTTTAATCAGATTGTCCACCTGTATTTTTGTCAAGTTGTACAGATAATGCTGTATTTGAATTGCCACTGTTCATTTACAGACTTAAAACATGAATCATATTTTTGAGTACCTTGAGTGTGTAGAGTTGTAACTGTTCTATAATAGTTTTATGATCCTAATGATAAGTTTTAAAAATTAAAAGAAGTTGGCTCTTACATGTTACAATCACAAATTTAAAACCAGTATTTAAAATTTAAAAAGTATTAAAAATTATGAAGAAAAATCTTGGCTTCTTGTTGTTTTTAACTTCCCAATATTTGGAGAAACCTTGCCTTTTAAACAACTTTTAAATCATGAATGAAATTATATACAATGTTCTAGTGCATGGAAAACATTTAACAGGAAAGCAGTTTACTTGTGTTACTGACATCACTGAGATGAAAACATGAATGCCACATTAGTTTACACATTGAGAAGTTCATTTTGTGCGAGCATTCAGAGGGGTGTAAAAAGGTGCTCCTGGTAGAGTGTAGTTATAATGCAGAGCACTTCCGGAGTATGTCAGCTCTTCATTTGTAAGGAATAATACAATTCTAGGAGTTTGCATGGGAAGAGCAGCAACCCAGGACTAAGATGGGCTAAAGCATAAAGTTACGGCTTTTCCAAAGAAAGAGTAATTTTTAGTAACTGAGATAAGCTTCCATGAGCAATTTTTCTTAATAGTAGAAGTAAGTGGTAACTAACAGATCAATAGCAATCCTACCTTTATTTGTTGCAGTAATTTCTACTTCTTTATATAGCAATCAGGAAAATTGGAAGAAATCTTACAGGTATGCAGGACTAGAGGAACAGTTTGAAGTAACAGAAGGCATTACTTGAACAGAATCAAAACTTAAGCGCAGCTGTATCAGGTTTCTTGTAATATATTGCAAAACATAGAGTCCTGAGGTAACCTCTCACCTTGGAGAATGCAGCTATTTTACCTGGCAAAAAGAAGACTTTTTTTTACCCCCCCAAAAAAGTCGCATTTCACATTCATGGTACCGTAACTTACGTTCATAATTTAAAAATTAGATACTTTCCAGTAAAGAGGTTGAGCATTTCTGTGTAACTGCAGTACCATTTGACCCTGGATGATGAATGATAATTAGGGCTATGACACACAGTTTACTGGTGTCAATTACTAACACTAATCATCTGTCTCCACCTTTGACAAAGTTTTATAGGAGAAAAATACATTTTGTTAGAAGAAAGGGACACACTTTGAACATTAGCAACTTGCAAGTGTCCTCAGCTGTAGCCATTGATGCAGTAAGCTCTTCTCTCTGCACACCTGCCTCTTCTGTACATGGACTACCGTAAGCATAAGGAAGCCTGATACCGAGGATTGCTGCAGTTTTCAGTGTTTAAACTCTCCTTAAAAATAAAAATATTTATTAAGTTGGATCAATCAATAGTTAGACCTATTGTCATCCACAAGACTTCCTAAACTTTTGTGTGCCAGGAAATAAGCCACAGATTGTAAAGTTGTAGCCAGTGATTTTTAACTAGTGCAAAGAGTGGCAAAATATGACAGCAGCCCTAACAATTCCCATTTGCTGGGATAAGACTGTCACTCAACTGTGGAACAGCCTAGGAAGCTCCTAGGAAGTTATGCCCTGTATACGAGAGAATTCCAGCTCGGAGGCCCAGGATAGCGTGCTGTCTTGGTGAGGGTGAGCCATGCCCAAGTATGAGCAGAACCGCAGGTGTGTTTGTACCCTCCAGAAAACACCTGTAGTCAGGGTAATGAGCAGTGATGCTGGTGATGCCTCACTGCTGCCCCATTGGAAATCACTGCTCTGTCTTCAGCCTGAGGGTGCTCAAGTACCAGCCCAGTAATCAAGGCCTCCCCACGCCCCACATCGGAGCCTGCAGCACTGATCCAGTTGAAAATGTAGCTATTAAAAACCTCCCGAACACTTGGAACACTTATCAGTGGGTGAAATGGTTGACCTCTGCAAAAAACCTGAGAAATTTAAATGAGCTCCTTTATCTTTCCTGGCTTTTATTTGACTGAACTGTACCTGAAAACTCTCAAACTTAATTCAAAAAACACTGAATTATCATGGCACTACTAGGGTAACTAACCATCCTACTACTAAGAGAGGTGCTAAGCAAAATCATCAGTAATTCAAGTAACAGATGCTGATTTTCTTGTAATACATTTTTAATGAAAAACTGTGAATAATTTTTTTTAATATAAAGCACTTAACATTTCAATATTTAATATAGCTGTCATCTGTGAGAAATTCGGTAATAAAGAGTACCTGGTAATTTACTTTCTTATTAACTAAGACTGTCCTAACCAATTCCAGTGAAAATAATGGAACACTGTCGAAAGATGTGAAAACCACTTGCAAATGTTAATATTACTAGATTTTCTTCCAACTCTAACTTTGGTTACATCAGAAGAAACAGTTTCCCTAACAAGTAGCTGTTCCTGTCATATAAGGTTTGGTGAAGAGGTGTACAGTTAATTGCTCTTTTATATAGCAGTTTCTGTGTTTATGCTTGTGTGAAACAGCACCTCTTGCCTTAAACTACATTAACTTCATCTATTACTGAAAAGAAAAAGTTTTGGATTACTAGGTAGGAGACACAAATTGTGCTCTAAAAATCTTAAGACAGTAGTGGGATCTGGGTACACAGAGGGATGAATTCCAGTAAGTCTTGACATTTTTAGTGTTAGGCAATAGGCTTTTTAAGTTATCTCCCATGCAAGAGAAGGAAACTGTCAGTATTAACATTTACTGATTTTTTTTTGACAGTGCTAGTTTAAAGTGTCCACTTTTGTTCAAATTCACAAGTGAAGGAAAAAAACACTCAGTAATTATAACTGCCAAAACTGATATATAGTACTTTATTCCCTTCTCCCTGCTTTGATTTGCCCACAAAAAACCCTTTTATAAAAACATTGTTTTCTGAAACACAAAAACAATGCCTTAATGGCCCAGATTTTCAATCACATTAGTCTTTTGGGGTCAATTTTCTCCAGGTGTACTAGAGGCTTCAGCTGCTCAGCAAAGTTCCTCATGTCATCAGAAACAATGTCCTGTCCTGCTGGCGCGACTACATTGAGCTCCACCAAGTAGGAGAGGGAGAGCGGCTCAATGCTCTCCGTGTTTCCTGGCATCAGGATGCGGTAGATCTTGTACACCACGATCTTCATGATGCCCTTGCGGAACACGTGCCCTTTGGCCACGAACTCGTGGTCCATGCGGAAACCCATCTCCACCAGGAAGTCCGTCAGGTTGTCGGACGTGGCGATGTCCACGCAGTTGCGCACCAGCGCGTGGCGGTTCTTGTCGCCGATTTCGGGCTGTCCCAGGTAGCGCAGGTGCCAGGGCATGCCGCTCTTGTCCATGGAGCGCCGGGCGCGCAGCACGAAGGGGCTGGCCTGCTGCCCCTTCAGCAGGAACACCATCTCGTGGTCCAGGAAGGTCTCGGGCTCCATGTTGTCGCACAGCCCGCGCAGGCGGTGCAGGAGGCTCTCCAGGCTCTGGTCCAGCACGCTCCCTGCGGAGACAGCGCCACGACCATCGCCTCCCCCACAGGCCGAGCCGCGCTCCCTCCGCAGCGCGCCCGTCCCAGCGCCCTCCGGCCCGCCCGTGCGCGGCGCCAGCACCCCACCCCCTCCTCCCCCGCTGCCCGCGCTGCTCGGTCCCGCAGTCGCCTACCTTGGAGCAGGTACTCCATCATGTTGATGGTGCCGCCCGTGACGGGCATCATGGTCACCGGCGGCGCCTCCATCGTGCGCTCCGCACCGGCCCCGCGGCCTCGGCGGCAGAGGCGGGCAAGGCGGGCAAGGCGGCAGCACCGCCCCCTGGCGGCTCGGCGGGGCCGGCGGGGGCTGCGGGTGGGGCGGGGCCGGCGCTGGGGGCGGGGGCTGGAGCGCCCGGCCCCGCTCCCTCACACGGCCCGGGCGGGTTCCGGAAGCGAACACCGGCCAAGGACGGACCGGAACGCGGCTTTTTCCGCCTCCCCTTGGCCTGCCGGACAGCTTCCTTAGCCCCAGGGTGCCGGAGCGCTGGAACAGGCTACCGGGGAGGTTGTGGAGTGCCCCTCTCTGGAGCCATTCAAAACCCACCTGGATATTTTCCTGTGTCACCTGCTCTGGGTGACCCTGCCTGAGCAGGGGTGTTGGACTGGATTATCTCCAAAAGTCCCTTCCAACCCTAACGATTCTGTGATACTGTATTTCTGTCTTTTATTCTAGTTTGCTCAAAGCCAGGGATCAGGAGGTAACTCACGAAAGGCTGGCTCTGTGGTCATGAAACCTCTACACTATTTATACCTTTTAACAAGCAAAGGCATCAGCATTTGTTGTCTGTAAGTTGTATGACTTTTCTCCTAATTAGCACTCAGACCCTATTTGCTAGTTGTATCCCTTGCTTCTCCAAGAGAAGCGCCCTTTTAGGTTCTTCCAGGCATGGTTTTCCCTCCCCTTTGGATCGGGGTTTGGTGGTCAATGAGACAGTGGTCACGGTCATCCACTGCTGGAATTACCTTCCCTCACTTACTGCCCACTCCTGCTGACTTCACTCCTGGCAGCTCACATCCAGAGAGTCCATTTATCTTGGCATTGCCTTCTCCTTTCCTCAAAACAAAAGACGCAGCGTTCACAGTGCAATTGCTTAATCATAAGTGTTAAGCTACAGCTTCTGATTAACAACTAAAAAAAAAAAAACAAACCATTGCAAATTTGGTTCAAATCTTGAGACCTCAAATCTTGAGGGGCCCAATTCTCAAAGGGCTCACTGCCAGCCTCACCCTGATGCCTCTGGCTTTGGCTTTTATATTTTTCAGATTCTGTGCTGCCTTAAGGCATCACCCCAGCACAGGGGGCACAGTGGAGGAGAATGGGAGGCCAGCAGGCAGGCCCAACCACCAGGGGTCATCCTGGCTGCACCCACACCTCTCTCCAGGGAGAGGTGGCACATGCAATAAATTCTGTGTAAATTCCCCACCAGAAATGTTCCAATCTGTCTCTTACAGCAACAGCAAAGGGGTTGATGCTCTTGGGAGTTGGGCACCAGGCATCAGCTCCTGCAGCAGTTTGAGTTAGAAACTGTTACCAGAGGTGCAACACATGATTCATAGGTTTGGAAAGGCAGAAATCTCATCTGGGCCTGGTAGGGTGTGCACCATTTCTAGGCAGAAAAGCTTCTGGTTTCAAAAAGTGATGAAAATGCCCAATATGTACCAGGTGAATTTTTACCTGTCAATACTCAAAATAGAGTTATAAATATGACTTTCTCTTAGCAGTTTTTTTTGTGTAGCAAACCTTTAGGCCACACAGAACGTGAACAGTATGTCTGTCTTTCCTTTATCAATATCTACACAGCTGTGGTATTCCCTGCCACCCCCCAGAAAAATTATACAAATTCTGGTACAAGCCAAAGACCTGCAAATGAGAAATGGCATAATTGTGCCCTCCCAGAGCAGTAATGGTTTGTGTCACCCCTGATGTACCAGAGGTAGTTTGGAGTACTGGCAAGCAGGGGTGACCTGAGGGGTGCAGCGCAATCCATGAGGGGAATATTGACAAAGGAGGGAACCACAGCCCAGGGAGCTGCCATAGTGGATGCGCATTGTACATACTCCCCAGATTGCAGATAAGAGGCTTGTGTTGAATAAAGTAAGAAAATAGTCAACAAAAGGTTTGAGTGATTGTTTTAAAAGCATTCCTAAGCTTCAAGGACCAAAAAATAGGTTTCCTCTTATATATGGATCAGCTTTACTTAGCTGATCATCATCATCATACAGTTAGCATGGAAAAAATATTGAGAAAGATAGCTAAGAAAAGTAAAAATTAGTATAAAAAAGTATTTTAGCATTTCAAGAGGGGTAATTTCTGAGGTTCACTTCTCTCTGTGGTGATACCAATTTTCGCTTCTGTCTAGCTGAGGTGCATAATAGTGTTACTACGGACGCCTCATAAAACCTAAGAGGATGTCAAATTTCCGTCTCAAAGTAAAAATTCTTTCAAATTCCACAGCTGTCACTACTCTGAGTAATTTTGCACCACAATCTGACAAGCTATAGTGCAGTCCGGAAAAGAAATGTCCCAAAGAGGTCATCCCATCCCCCTGTAGTTCTAGAAAATGTAGGTGATAAAATGTGCCACAGCCACAGCATCTCCACGTAACTTCACTGGCAGAGTAAAAGGCAGCACAGTCCTGCATCTGCTGAGCTGCTTGTCACTGTGGGCTTGGAAGGTCTGGGTACACCTACATACCATTAAGGGATCCTAAAGAAACTTTTTCTGCAGCTGTTGAAGATGGGATGCAGCAGACACCAACAGCAGGTGGTCAGACAGAGGGAGGAGGTGGAGAGAAGCAAAGATAGTAATTAAGAGTAAACGTGTTATTCCCAGCCACCCACCTACATTCTGTTCAGCTCCCTTGAAAATCCATCTCACTCAGCTCTCTGTGTCAGGGAAATGGGCTGCCCATGTGGGACCAGGCCTTTATCTTAGCTCTGTGTCACATGCCAAGTGCTCAGAGCAGAGCTCTGTTGGGAAACCTCAGGTGAAACGAGTGATCCAGCCATGATCTCATTGAAATAATACCAGCAGAAGGGAGGGTCAGCTAGACATAAACTGGATTAAAGGTTTCTAAAACTCAGAATTTTTTCTCACCCATGTTACAGACTTAAGGTTCGAATCCAATTTTGTTACATCTATGAATCAAAAATGCTTTCAGATTAAGCATACAGCACTCTACATTCACTCACAAATTAACAGCAAAAAGTCTTCCACCCCACAAATCTATGTGTTAGCTTTTTGAAATTATTGCAGTGAATCACACAATTATTTAGGCTGGAAAACATCTCAAAGTCATCAAACCCAACCTATGACTGAACATCACCTTGTCAAGTGGACCATGGCAGTGAGTGCTGCATCCATTTTTTCCTTAAACACTTCTGTGGATGATGACTCTACCACCTTCCTGGGCATCCCATTCCAATGCTTGACAACTCTTTCAGTGAAGAAATACTTCCCGATGTCCAGCCTGAATCTCCTCAGGTGCAGGTTGAGGCCATTTCCTCTTGTCCTGTCACTTGTTGTCTGTGAGAGGAGACCGATCTGCACCTTTCTACAAGCTCCTTTCAGGCAGTTGTAGAGAGTGATAAGGTCCCTCCTGAGCATGTGGTCTAACTTTAAAGCCCTTGTTTAAGATGCAAGTGCTTAACAAAATCAAACCTAAATTTCACTTGGGGTCTCATGGGACTAATGTCTCATACAGTATGAGTAAGTACATTTTAAAGGGGCTCACAAACTCCTTTCCACTTCTTTTCCCAGGAATTAAAAGGGCAAAAGCTCCTGACACCTGAGAGTTTTCAACTTGCTCTGCATTGGCAGACCTGCAACTTTCAAAAAGGCCCATTTGTCAATGACATTTTCTGGGGTTTAGAGGACAGTTAGGGTATTAAGTACCTTAATTAGTTTATGAAGTCATTACTTTGTATTCCTCTCTTTGCTCACCTTTTGGAAGAGGAGATTATTTTCTTGAATGAAATAACTAGACTTGTGGTGGGATACCTTGGCAGAGAGTGAAATGCCGACCACCTATACAGCAGGATTAGGTAGAAGAGTAGAATGAGAAAGCTCATGGGTCAAGAGAAAGACAGGAAGATTGCTTCCTGGTTTTTGTCAGGGCAGAACATTCTTGACACATGGAAAATCAATTTGTTGCTGATTTAAAATAATGGGAAGTTAATGGGAGACAGAAGGACAAACAGTAGAATAAGTTGTCTTGCCCTTTTTCCTGAGCTCAACTCCATTCCTTTTCCCTGTAGGCTCCTCTACCAGAATCCTAAAATGATTAAGGTTGTAAAAGATTTCAAACCCTATCAAGTCCAATGGTGCACCAGTAAACCTTGTCCCTGGTTGCCCCATCTACGCCTCTTTTAACATTGCCAGGCTCAGTGATAGCTCCAGTGAGACTGCCAGAGCAGGGCAGTCTGTTCAGTGCTTGTCTCCCCTTTCAGTGAAGAACTTCCTGCTGATATCCAGTCTAGCCCTCCCCTGCTGCAGCTTGGGACTGCTTCCTCTTTTCCTCTTCTGCTTGTGCTCGTTAGCTGGGAGGAAAGACCAGCCCCACCTGGCTACAGCCTCCTTCCAGGCACTTGCAGAGAGCAATGATGTCTTCCCTGAGCCTCCTTTTTTCCAGACTGGACACCCCCAGCTCCCTCAGCCATTCCCCACAGGAGTTGTGCTCCAGACACTCCATCAACTCCATTGCTCTTCTCTGGACTCACTCCCGTATCTCAACATCTTTCTCATGCTGAGGGATAATTACTCTGCTCAGTTATGTAATAGGCAATTTAGATAATGATTTCATTACATAATTTGCATTAAGTCATTTTGTGTGTTAACAGATAATTCCGTGGCTGAGTTGTATGTCAGTAGTTGAGGGACCATTGTAACTAGCAGGACTACATCAAGTTATGGCACAAGCAGAGAAATTAATAATAAACATCCGGTAATTTGTGACTTACCATGAGCCTCAGGAATAAATTATGATTTATTCCTCCCCATCTCACAAAGTAAGAACACTTTCCAAACGAGTTATTTCGGTGAACTGGCCATCCTGGTGGCTTGAGACTTTGCCCCATTCCTAAGATTGTATCACCAAAGCAAAAACTAAAGTTGCATGTAATTTTCTATGCTATGTGCTTGCGTTCCCAGGATTTTAAATGTAGAGTGCATTGTTAGATATTAAAAGAAACTGCTACGAGGAATTAAATTAGAATTCTCTGCTCTTCAGACTTACTTACCCAGGAACAATTTTCATGAGGGAAAACCAAGATTATCCTACAAAAAGTATAATTCTGTTTATCAAGAAACTCTGTGAACAGTGGTGTCACTCCTTGCACCTTATAGACCTACCCATTCTTTTTTCACTAAAGAAGCATCTTTTAGAGCCAGTATTCCCAAAGGTTCAACTAATTTAACCTCTGGTGTTGTAAAACTGTACCAGCTCACACAGAGCTATGCCAGCTCTCTCATAGAAAAGATGGGGAGTGACTCCTCTCTGTACCATTACATTTGTATGTGGCTTGTTTCAAGTACCTTTTTAAAAGAAGTTTTACCCTTAGCAGCATCGTTATACCTGAGCATAAACCTGTGCAGTGGGTGAGTGTGGCTTGTGGGTGAGAAACTGATGCAATCAGTGCTGGGCAAAAGAAGGTCGCAACATTGCCCATTTGTTTTGAGGATGAGGGAACGTTTTTAGTTGCCTAACTGTGATCCTTCACTCAATGGTCCTGGGAAAGATTGATAATTGACATCATTTTTATGGCATAGTTATTTTCATCCTGGTGTTCCAGCTTGTGAAAGTGTGGACTGACCTTGTAGAATTCTTCTCCAAAAGGATGAACTGGGTACGGAAGAAATTATTTCTTGTGAGGGTGCTGAGATGGTGGAACTGGGAAATTATGGCTGGATCATGACTGGAAGTGTTCAAGGTCAGGTTGGATGGGGCTTTGAGCAACCTGACTTTATGTTTCTGGTGGTGGATAAAGAAAGAGGTGATTTTTTCCATTCTGCTACTGCTGCCTAGTGTGAGCAAGGAGGGAGAAAGGAAATATGGCTGGCTCCTGTTGACACTCAGGTTCTGTCTTGTGCACTGTGTCCACAGGAGAGGCCTCCAGGAGGATCCAGGGAGAGTAAGAGAAATGCATCATGTCTGTTTCACTCTGTGCCATCAGGCCACACAACAGGAAGGAAGAATGTCAGGAAGGAACATGTCAGGTGCATCAGTCTGATGCCTTTCTAGCCTATGGACTCGACAGTGTTAGGTTTACAGTTGGACTCAATGATTCTAAAATTCTGTTCTAAACAATTCTGTGATTCTCTGGTCTAGTGAAGGTGTACGTGCCAACAGCAGGGGGGGTTGAAATTAATGCTCTTTTAAGCCCCTTCCAACCCACACCCTTCTGTGATTCTAAGAGCTGGTCTTTACTTGGCTTTTGTGGATCTCATTTGTTGTGGGTATTGGTGCCAAGATCCAGATTTTCTATTTTTGTACAGGCTGCGGCTGGGATGAAATTGGTTGTCTCCATAGCAGCCTGTATGAGGCTGTGTTCTGGATCAGTGATTAAGAACATTGGTTACACAGCAGTGTTTCAGCTGTTGCTGAGCAGGGGTTGCCAGCATCAAGGCCTTATTTTTGTCCTTCTTTTTCTCCTGCATTTGCTACCAGTGAGTAGGCTAGAGGTGAGTGAGAGGCTCTGAAGGAACACAGGGAGTCACATCTAATCCCAGCTGCCCACAGCAATATTCCATACCAGATGCCATTGCGCCCAGCACCAAAAGCTCTGGGAAAAAGATGAGAAAGTGGGGACATTCGTGGTTATGGGATTTGTTTTCTCAAGTAACTGTTAGTGTGCCAAACTGTTAGTGTTCCTCTGCTTGCTGCTAGGGAATTGTGATTAAATTCTTTGTTTTGCTTTCCATGTGTAGCTTCACTTTATCTCCTAAGCAGTCTCTATCTCAATCTGTCTTCTCATTTTTGCCTTTACAATTTCTCTTCCCTGTCCTGTTTAAATGGGGGTGAACAAGGTCAACCCACCATATTCTTCTAGAAGGCCTGAGTCCTAGTGGGAATGGAATGGGAGCAACTTATGAAAGCTGGGGCTAATGTCTTGGAGTCCCCTAAGAGCAGACCGAAGTAAAGCTGGTGGTTAAGGTAGGATGCTAAGTAGTTTTGCATTGTGTAATAGACTGCAAAAGCCTTGGAGCACTGAGGTGAGATTAACTCGGAAGCAGGCCTTCCCCCTTCCACAGGCTAGTAAGCAAGGTGAGCCTGGGGCCAGCAGACATCTCCAGGCAGGAGGACAAGGTATGGAATTGTCAGTTCTAGGGGTGTCACTGGATGCACACCAGTGTCACTTCTTACTGTGTGCAGGACAAGGTGGACCTGACAGGAATACAAACTTGCCCTGGGGCAAGACAGGATCCCAAACTATCATCTTGTTTCAGCAGGTAGCATTGTGCAATATAAACCTTCCCTAACCAAAGCCAAAGGGAAAAAGAGGATATGATGTTGAAAATGGTAAGCCACGTCCTAAAGGAGATGGAGAGGATCACACATCTGAAAAACACTCCGAGTAATAGCCAGAGCTCGCACTGCACCCCAAAAGAGAGCTGGAAGGAGTAGGACAGGCCCTCTACCACAGCTTTTCCCAGGGCTGTATTCACCTTATGAGCAAAGTTCACATCAAGGATGAAAATTGTCCACTGTTTGTGCACTGACACACCCAGTGTGTACTTGTACACTCCCATGAGAAAGCAAGTGGTTTCCCAGCTGTGCTCTTTCCCGGGAATCAGTGTGCATGCCTAAGAATGCCTGTGCTGGAGCCTGGCAGAGCCACATCCTCCCAGGTAAGCACTGGCTATACCAGGCTTCCAGTATCACAGCTCTGCTCAGGGTGCACATCACGGTGATGTGCATCCCTGTGCTGGAGCTGCTCTCTCCATCAGGAAGGTTCAGTAATGCACAGTTCACTGACAGAGCCTTGCAGCAGCTGGGCAACAGCTCTCTGGTTGGAGCTAGCTGGGGCTGGGGTGCTTGCAAGCCTCAGTGCTGAAACTGCCACACCAGGCAGCAAAAGGGAACTGGTGTGTTATAGGGTAAATTAGATTCAGCACACAGAGGAGAAAAGAGGTAAAGAAAGAAGCAAGGTGGTACCAGAGTCAAACACACTATTTTAAATGTTTTTTTCTTCTAGGGTTTTAAAATATTTGGGAAACCATTATCCATAGCAAAAGTATAGCACTGAAGTTACTGAAATTCAGTTCTAGATCAGTGTTTTGATTTTGCCAAATGGGCCTCAGCAGAAGGTATGTCTAATGCTGCAGCGAGTTAGTTCTCTCCCTTGGGCAAATTGCCTAATTAGACTTTGAGGACAATAAATGAGTGCCAACAGGCTTCTGCAAACAAGGAGAGAAGTACTGGTGTCACAGCCCTGGCTGTGTTTAGCACTGCTTGCCAGTGTCTCTTCATTAACTCTCTTAATTTAGACTCTCTATAAATTTGTCACTAAGTCATAAAGTAAAATAAGTAAGCTTAAAATACCACAATTAAGCCAATGTGTTTTCCGTGGTTTTACTGAAACTGAAAAAGTAGTTCTGTACCAAAATGTACACAGTTTAGTAATACAAAAAGTTAATTCTGCCAGACAGAATGTCAGTTAAATCCACCAAAATGAACACTGAATCACCATTTATTGCCAGACCAGTGTTAAATAAAATCATTGAATGAACATAGAAACAAAGTAATTCCAAATTTTCTTAAATAAAAATAGCAATTAGCAACAATACTGCAGGAAGATAAACATTCATGGTATTTGCTATTTACATGCCATCATAACATATCTAGCATGTAGTATGTCTTCATGCTTGCACATTACATTTATGAGCTCATTACAATGGATATTAATGCGTAAATGTACTACAAAGCAACCCACCATGATGTATATCAAATCTGCACATTAGAAGAGCACCTCTACTAGTCACCCCTTTAGGAATGATGCTGCAGGAAACCCAGCCCAATCCACTGATTCCCCCCACAAAAAGTCAAACAAGAAAAGCCAACACCAACCAAACAAGAAATCATCAAGCATATTAATAATTTTCCTCCTGTGCTTAACTAGGCAGGGCTATGCATTTAGCAGTATTCCTGAAGGTGAATCAAACCAGAATAAACCTGGGTTTTCTTTATTACAGTAAGAACACCTGAGACTGCTTCACTGGTCCAAGTACAGTATTTTATTACAAAAACTGCTTCTTACATTAACATGTCATTTCAATGAATCCCCTTAATTAGTACTTTTCATTGACAAAAAAGCTAAGATTTATTCTTAAAATAAATATTCCCCACCTCAAAAAGAAAGTTCAAAAGGAAATTTAAAAGAAAAAAAAAATCCCCTCCTTTTTTTTTATAAGAACAGCATGGTCTTCTGGCTTAGTTTTATTTCAGCTGAAATGGTGGATAAACATCTATTCTTGGAGAATAAGCGTTAAACACCTTATAAAAATCCCCAACATAAGGTACACAATGTGTATGTATGTTCCTAAAGAGAATTCTTGTTAAGTAAGTGTAAACATCTGTTCTTGAACATCTGTTCTTGACTCCTGTTTGAATGCACTCCTATCAAATGATGTTTCTCTGAGAAACTACATTTGCTTAAATATCTGTCTGACACATAACTGTTTTGAAGTTGCCATTTCATTTTTTCTACAAAGTACCAAAACAGTTGAAGACACTGTTCTTCCCTACTTCAGTACAGATTATATTTAACAGTTCAAAATATAAAAGATCACAAGTTTTACATAAAGGAATAACCTAGATTGTGGACTTAAACACTGAACACTGCTTAGCTGAAGCAGCAGCAAATTAAGTACTATATATAGACAGAGATTTCTATTAAACTAATATAATTCAATTAAACTGTCTGATAGCCTAAGACCTGATTTACATGTGAACAAATTAAAACTGGGAGTTCATAGAAAGTGATTAGGCTTGCCATCACTTTAAAAACATGCTTGCTTAACCAGAAAATAAAGATGGCAAGGACCAGTGCATTCAATCCAAGTTTACACCAACTTCTTTTGTTTTGTTACTTTAAATGTACAAAGTACATTACATTACTTTTCAGTTTAGCAGTTACCAGGACCTTATTAGGCAAAATAATCTCAATCTGTAAAAACATTAGACTGACTCTTCAGAAAATGTGTAAGAGTTTGAAAGCATGAAAGAATTTTTGTAAGAGTAAGAATTTGAAAGATATCTGACAGGACTTCTTTTCACAGTTTCTAACCACTGAAGAAGGTCAAGCATAGCTAGTCTCGAGTCTTGATCTCTTAGTTTCTCTTACACAGACATCACTGAGTTGAAGGCAATCTTTATTCTAAACTTCATAGATTTTGGTTTTTTTTCCTTGTGCACCTGGTCAGTTCCTAAAACAATTCTTCATTTCAAACCCATTTTAGTATTCAAGCTGCCTTTTTAGTGCAGGTTCCTTGAAGATCCTGTAGATTTATCTTTGACCTAATAAAACAAGCAAGATAACTACATTAGATAGTTAAAATGTTACACTGCTTCTATGTGTTGCAATTAGTCACATAATCATTATTGACTCTCCTGTACTCGTAAGAGGATCAAAACAGCAGATAAATACACAGATTTTTCCATTTTTTACCTGTTGTGGATCATGTGGCTTTTGACTAGATGCCCGGCTGCAAGAGCAGCCATTAATGACAATTCCCCTGCCATCACCGTAGCACAAACAATTTTAGCAAGCTGACGGGCATTTTCACCAGGGTTATCTTGGCTTGCACCTTGAACCCCTAACATCTGGAAAAAAATACAAGGCAGTATTATGCTATGAAATCTAAGTCAATTTATTATATATTTGGTAGTATTTCTGAATTATGCCCAATGAGTCTCTTTAATATTATTAAGACATTAGTAAATGTCTTAAGCTTTAGAAACTGGACATATGAAAACAGTTCATTAGACATTTCTAACATTTTCATATAAATACATCAAGTTTCAAGCAGCCCCATTCCTGCAATATTGCTTGCACACCAGAGGAAAGCAACCTTTGATTTAAGAAGATAAGTTGCTTTCAACTTTGAGAACTATACCTGCAAACAGGCCTGCTGTGGGAGCAGGTTGGTGCCTCCACCAACAGTCCCTATTTCTATAGAAGGCATTGTGCAGCTGATGTACAGGTCTTCATTGGTGGAACCAGTTCTCTCCATCAAAGTGATGCAGTTGGAGCTGCCCACATTCTGCGCAGCATCCTTCAGATCAAGGAGGAGAAACAACCATCAGACACTTAAAGCAGTGTTTGATTAAGAATTACTGAACTAAAGAAAATGTGAACTGGTGTATAGCAAACCTACCTGACCACAGGCAATGTAGATCGCTGTCACAATGTTTGCTGCATGTGCGTTGTAGCCACCAATGCTACCAGCCATCGCAGAACCCACCAAATTTTTGTTTATATTAACTTCAACTAGATCTTCCGTAGTTGTTTTCAACACCTGGACAAAGTGATAGATACACTTTTACTACCCTTTTCCTCAGGCAGGAGTAGAAATACTCTATTTATTGTTATTCATGGCCCTCACCCCTCGTTTGCTTCTGTATGGAATTTGAATCAATCATTGTCCTGGATATCTTTTTTTTTTGTTCCAAAGAAGACTTTTAAATATAGGATGTCCAAGTAACAATGGAAAAGTCCAAACAAAGGATTTGGACTTTCACAGGCCTTTGAGAAAAGCTCACAGGGGGGTACTCCATTTCAAAGTCTCCCTTATATTCAGAATGGAACAAGTAAAATCATCTTGGCAGAAACATCCCATTAATTTACCTTTACATGACTCCAACATTCCTGTCAAGTTTTCCAGACACTAAACTCTTCCCAAATTTGTTTTGCATACAAATATGGAGCCAAACAAAAGTTCCAATACAAACAACTATTCTACATAGGTAAATAAATACTATGAACAGTAATATAAAATTAAGTGACATATTTTTAGTGACTGGATTTTGAAACTTTCAAGTAAGAGATTTATACTGAATTTAATACAAAAGTGATCAAAGATGGTCAAAAGAGATACTGTTGTTGAGCAAAATTTAAGATATTCCTGCACAGCAGGAACAGTATTTATCTGCACAAAGTCTGCAGCACTGACAAAAACATAACGTTGATGTATTACAAGTTCAGTATAAGTAAATGTGGTAACACACAGGGCTGGGGTTTGAGGAAAACCTTCCCAAATTTACCTAAAAATTATCAATGCTCATTATGAAAGGACTACCTCCCCTTTACTACCCTGGAATGAAATCCTGAGGTTACAATAGATATTGCCAGTCAACAATTTGAAAAACAGGAAACTACCCCAGAAGACATGAATCATGTCAATGTATAAATCCATTTTGCACACACTGTTAGAATCCTCTGTCAAATTCTGTACCCAGAATTTTAGACATGGTAGAACTGTAAAAGATAGAGAGGTAAGCATGTTCAAAGACATACTGGAAGTCTGTTTACTCACTGCTGATAGAGAAACTAGGACATTTTAGTCTGAAAATGAAAATAGCTGGGAAGGTGGACCAGCTGTGTCAGAGCTGTAACATCTTGAACAGTTGAGAGGAGATGACAAGTCTTAAACATCTCTCCCAGTACAAAACTGGGGCATCATCAAATGGAATCAATACAAAAGTAGTTCTCACACAAGGTGAAGCTGGACTGTGGAATACTGCCCAGAATAGTAGATCTAGAAGTTTATATAGTGTCCCAGAAGAGACTATATCAGAGACAAGCATCAGTTTTGCAAAACGTATGTATTTTTATAAACAAGAGACCAGACACTTACTTCTCTAACAACCTTAGCTGGAATGACTGCTTCACAGACAACAGACTTTCCTCTTCCTTCTATCCAGTTTATAGCAGCAGGTTTTTTGTCTGTACAGTAGTTACCACTGATAGCTATAACTTGAAGGTCAGGAAACTCTTCATTCAGCCTCACCAGTGCTTTTTCAGTACCCTGTTAGACAGAAACAGGAAATAGGCTAGGTTTATCTTTATGGGTGTAAAACAAGCTATTCAAGGACAGTGGAACAGTATCCTAATCAGATAATCAGTTACAGTGGAAGAAAAGCAAAATAGAAAAATACAAAAAATATAATGAAGAAACAAGAAATAGAAGGGGAAAAACCACAAACAATTATGACTATCTTTTTTCTAATCACTCTGGGAATTACATTGGGGAATAACTGATTTTTCCCAGTACATACAGACTCCCTGGATCCATTCTAGGTACACAGACATATGGGTACCATACTGAAGATACAACAGGAACTAAGTTAAACTATTACAGGCATAGATTGAAAAAAATCTGGATGTAGAGGAAAGAGCTTCTTTACACCAGGAAATCAAGACTAGAAAATCTGCTATATTAGGACTTCTCTATGATCAGATCCACTTTTATAATGGTTCTGACTGCCTATTCCAAAAGAAGCTTAAGTCTAACATTATTCATTTTGCAATCTAAGGATCCAGATATGCAACCTAGAGATGCAGTCTAAGGATCACATCTCAAATTCTTCCCCATGTTTGCATAAAAACAAGCAAAACTAGACAACACCTCTCTGCTGCCACTCCTAATTCTTTATGAACTAGGAAATGATAAACACAGTAACAGAATAATTACTACTGGATAGAATCTTTGGCTTAAAGCAACAGTGCAACCATTTTAGCTTCCTATTACCAAAAATACTGTCTTTAAATAATCATAAAAATATAAAATAAAAAATTACTTCCTTCCTTCATAATTTTCTTCCTAGTTTTGTCTACACTTAACAAAACCAAAAATTTTTATTGTTTTATGCAAAGACCACTGTGTCTTGTCTTTGTCCTCCAGATGTCACAGGTTATTAGGCTATTTTCAAAAAGGAATACCCATTTTTTAAAAATACTTAAGGGGACCGATCCTTACTTTTGAAATCATATTCATTCCCATTGCATCCCCTGTTCCAGACTGAAACCGGATATAAAGGTTACGACCAGCCAAACTGATGAGAAGTTTTTGTAGGCGGGCAAACCTGCAAGAAAATGTAACTATTACTTACAATGCTCATGGGAATATTAGCTTTAAGAGGCAAAATGGCAGTAAATATTTGCAAATTGCACTGCTAAATACAGAATAATAAATTCCTTTACGAATCATTTGGAAAAGAGCTGTAAAACCAACAAGTCCAGTCTTTGACAATCATCCTTTCAACAGGACCACAGCACCAAGTGCTATGTCCAGTCATTTCTTGAACCCTTCCAGAGATGGTGCTTTCTTGAATAAGTACAACAAAAATATTCACTGTTAAAGTGTTCACTGCCTTTTTATGTTTTCTATCCCTGAACTTCAAGAAATAAAATATCCTCAACTGCTAACATAAATTTATTCACTTGTATTCCATAAACATCTCACTACCAGATCTAAAGTAATAATCAGGCCTTTGGAAATTCTGATGTAAGTTTTACAGCAAGGCAAAAAGCATGCTATCTTCAACACTGCAAGCTGCACAAGCCACTCAAAAGGCAGAAAGTACTGCATTTAAAAAGCAGCATGAGCTGATTCTGGCCAAAATACAGATGTATCTTTGGCTGATGCTTGTTAAGAAACACAACAGGTAAGAAAATCTCTCTCTGAATCTTCCTAAAGCAAGATGATCATCATAAGCCCTAGAGAAAACTTTAGGGCTTGAAATAGACTTATTCTTACCACTGTTTTACATTTTTTTAGCATTTCAGTTCTAGCATTAGTTTACCTCGTATTTCCTCAGATTAATACTAATAATATCATCTGAAAGGCTTACGACCAAACTTTGAGGATTTTTTCTGCATAGTAATTACAGTTACAGTTACTCTGCCTAGTAAAAATCAAAATAGATTATAGGATCCTTTAAAAAAGCTTAGACAAATTAATATTCTATTAATTATTATGCAATGTCTATCTATTTGTTGTTAACATACAGCAGTTTACCATTATCAGTGAAAAATGTTTATTGCTAGCCTTGGCACACAGCCAGACTGACTTCTGTCCTCTTAGATACTCACAGCATTGGGACAGCCAATTGCAGTACTCCAAAAAAACCAACTGAGATCTTTCTACCATCCACAGAAGTCTTATGTCTGGAAATGAAGCTGGAACAGCCATCATACTAACCTACTTGTGCTGTCAAAAGCTTCCTTCATTATTTTAAAACCTTCGGGGCTTTCAAGCCAGACTTTCACCTCTGCAGCCTGGCAAGCAGTGGGCAACCTTACAACAGGTCCTCGAGTCATCCCATCTGCCAGAATGCGGCTACTTGCTCCTCCACCAAGCTAAAAACCAAAGCAGAAGGGGGATAAAGTAAGATTAATGAAATTTTAGTTTTCAAGAAATCAAAAATATGCATTATATAAACCTGAATATGTTTAGGTTTATATAATGCATATTTTTATGCATTATGTTTATGTATTTTATAATACAGGAAGTTTTCTAAGCTTTTAAAGTCACACAGTACTTACACATATTGCTCTACATCCTCTGTTTGTGCTTGCTACAAGACACCCTTCTGTTGTTGCCATTGGCACCTGAAACTCTTTGTTATCCAAAACCAGTGGTCCTGCTACGCCTACAGGAATAGGCATATATCCAATCACGTTTTCACAGCAAGCTCCCATCACCTTACAGAAACCAAACAAAACAATCACTTAGGTTACATTCCAGTGGTACAGCGTCTTTGTAAAACACACACAAATTTACCCATAAAGCAACTCACTGACACCTCAAAAAGTTAACAGCTATAACTATCAACAGCGAATGTTATTCAACACTAGGCAAGATATATTGAATCCTGTATAGTACTAAATGTTACTTAAATAACCCTGAAGTTTTAATTAAAAAAAATATTCAGTTTTAACTTGTGCTCAAGGTTATATTATCATTCAGTTGAATTGTGGCTCAGTTTTAGTAGAACTCCACATTTCTCAGATAAGTCAGCTGCATACTTTGATAGGAAATATTTTTTGGATAACTTACAAAACTCATGCACCACCCCAGGTTTAAAAACATTAAGAGCAATTAAAGTTGGTGCCTCATGTCTGCCCTTTATTTTTTCCCTTCTACATCAGTTTTGACCATGCTTATTGTTAAGTCACATGCATGACTATGGATTTATTTCATAGAACCATAGACTTGTTTGGATTGGAAGGGACCATAAAGACCACCTAGTTTCAATGCCCAAGCCAAAAACAGGGACACCTTTCACTGAACCAGGTTGCTCAGAGCCCCATCCAACCTGGCCTTGAACATTGCCACATTTGGACCATCCACACCTTCTCTGAGCAACCTGTTCCAGTGTCTCACCACACTCACAGTGAAGAATTTCTTCCTAACATCTAAATCTGCCCTTCTTCAGCTTAAGGTTGTTCTGCCTTGTCCTTTCATTACAGATTGTTGTGCAAATTCCCTCTTCCACTCTCTTGTAAGCCCCCTTCAGATACTGGAAAGTGCTTTAAGGTCTTCCCAAAGCTTCCACTTCCAGGATGAAAAATCCCAACTCTATTAGCCTGTCCTCACAGGTGAGATATTCCAACCCCCAATCAACTTAGTGGCCTCCTCCGGAATCGTTCCAACAGGCTCATGTTTTTCTTCTTCATGTGTTTGGAATACAGTTATACAGTGAGTTGTGCTTGTCTACTTCATACTTACCAAAGAATAATTATAATTCTTGTAAGGAAGATACTGCAAAGATGAAGGTTCAGGAAGTTTCTTAGATAACATCTGTCTGCGAATGGATACACCTCGCTCCTGGGTTTCCATCAGGGTTTCCAGCTTGTATGCAGGAATATGCTTAGCATTAACTAAGCTGATAACCTCAGCATCAGTAAGAAATTTTGCTCCTTCCTGGAAACAAAGGGTGGAGAGAGAAAACAGAGACTCTCCTCGTGAAAATCATTTTAAATGTTTCTAAAAGAAAAAGAATAACAACTTTGCTAAAGGGGTCAGCTGCCAACATCAGGTTTTATAGCATATGATCAAAAACTTTCATGATCAGACACACACTCGTACGTGTACATGATGAAGCTCCAAAGACTTGGAATGTTATCAATGATGAAGCTGATCCCTCTTCCTACCCTTCTCAACTGACTTGAGAAGTAACTCATTAAAGGGTTTTGTTTTAGCTGTGACCTCCACACTCCCCCATGTTATTAAAGCCATGTAATTTCCTGAAGAATGATATTACAACCAGTGGGATCATCTAAAAGCTAGGAAAAGAACTCTAACAATTCTTAAATCAGATGCTGCAGTAGGGGCTACATAAAATAGTTATTTTTCCATACCTGTGCATTTCCAAGTATACGAACACATTCCTCAATAGAACGTGGCTCTTTAGGTAACTCAATCTCTTCCTCTTTTCCACTCGGATATGAAGAAGTTTCCACAGGGCTGGAATTGCCAACCACAAATGTAGCCTTGGTTGATGACTCTGCTAATACAGGTTTTATGACTTCAGCTGTGCAAAGACAATAAAAATGAGCTCCAGTTAACAAAATACTGAAGTTTTGATACCAAATATAATATGCTACCAAAGATTACACAATTTGTTCCAAATACTCATTAATGGGTCCAGATTTTAGAATTATAAAAATTACCTACCACTTTCATCTTTGGATATGAAAGCTTCTTCTCCTGTGTTAGAGTTTTGATTGTTTTTCAGAACTCCAGTCTGCTTCCTGCAACAATTTTCAGGGACCTTTTTCTGTACCATCACAGGAGATGTTATGGGATTCTTCAGTGAGAGCGTAGATTCAGTCTCCGCTTGCTCAAAGAAAATATATTTGACAGCAAGGAGAAGGGCTAATCCAAGCGTGATTACTTGCTCAATATCCATACTGGCCATTCTAAAAATGATCAAAAAGTAAATATAGAGTATATACAATTTGTTGCTTATAACAGCATTCTGATATTTTTTTACTTCAGAAAGGGTAATAATTCCATCCTCACATAGTTACAGAAATTCCCGTCAGGAGATATTTTCTACCAGGATGTTGAAGTATTCTAGGCTAGGGTGGAAAAATCATACTACTATCGACATGAAAATCTTCAGATGTCATTAAAGAGTTACATAAATCTGGCTAAAAAGCAGCCCCAGTAGAAAAAATGACTGTAAAAGATTCACTGATAGCTACATCAAATTGATTTGACACCTGTCCCCCAATGACAAGACAAAGTTTCATTTATCATTATCTACCAATTAGGACCACTATGATGCAAGATGAACTGCTAAGAAGGGACAAATACCCCATGCCTATACCTGAAAGTTCTGACTTCTCAGAAATAACATGAAATGACAGGTGACACTAACTTGAATTGGGCTGAAGGAAAAGCCATAATATAAAATGAGTTTTGCACCTTTTGCACTTAGGTGTGAATGGTGAGAAACTCTATGTAAGTAAATTACTCTGGTGCAGTTTTAAAATTATTTCCCAGTATACTGTGAAAGAGGCTAGTGGGAAAAGACAATGTTTTGATGCATACAGGAGAACTAGCTCTTGATCATGTTCTTGACTACTGCAAGAGTTTGGACAAATGGCATCATATTGACATTTCTTCTGAAATGTCACCTCTGGTTCCAAGATGTCCTACAGTGGTCAGACCTGAAAGTCTGCAAGTCTTGTGATCTAGGATAACAAGCTTCTAGCTTGGCAGCAGTAGAAATACAGCACAATCACACTTCTGTGAAGCCACCTACCGAGAAAGGTAGAACTGCCACAGTGAAACATTAGGTTCAATTCTCTTTGGTGCATTCTCATCCAATCCCACTGAATTTTCAACAGTATTGTTTTGAGCAGCTGGTTCCGCTATCCAACGACTGTGGGCGTGAACAAGAACCAAACCCAGTGACTGTATCAAAAACACAAAACAAGTATTAATTTTTCAAATGTAACTTGGTATCTTATCTAGTAAGAGTAAATATTGCCCTCTTTTTGTTTGGGTTTTTTTGCTGGCTTTTTCCCCCCATGTTTCCCACGCTTCTAAAATCCAAAACCTGATTTTCTTCACCTCTAATTAACACCCTTTTTGGCCTACTGTGACATTGTTGTATAGTAGCCTTGGATGTGTCCCACCCACACTTTTTCTCTCACTCAAGAAATAAGCAAAGGAAGCTGAGGGTACTGCAGGGGCAAGAGGGAGTACACACGAAAGAGCCCTGAGTGCTTGGCACAGAAATGCCATAGGCAGGAAAATGACAGGTGTAGATATAAGTTCAAGACTAAGTTCAACTAATGGGCTTCAGAATACAAGTCTATAGAAAACAAAAGCTTAATTTTTGCACCAGGACACCCCACTGATTGCATAACCACAGGTGAAAAAGAGCCACAAACCATAATCATTTTGACCCTCTGTGTCACAGGATTTGGTTTATTCTCTTCTTCTTCCAGAACACGAGCAAAATGACTAAGCTGCCATATAGGGCGCCCTTCACGACTCTCTCTTGAAAGCTGCAATAAAATAAAAATAAGTCATATACAGTACCTATTAGAAGAACCAACAAATAAGATCCCACATTACATTTTTATTTGATTATTGAAAAATTACCAAGAGTCTATAGTTAGACTTTCAATTGTGAAAAACCCTGGACAGACAATAAGTTACAGTATCATCTGTTTAGTTTGCTTTAGATCACAACTACTACTGAGTGTGACTCATTTACAGTGATATTTACACATTGCTGTCACCAGTTTACTTTGAAAGGAAGATGAACATGCTGGCATATAACTCCATGATGAAAAATACAGCTTACAGAACCACAGGGCTGAATACTAAACTTGAGGTTGTCTTGAAGCTGGTCTTACCTCTAATACCAAGGACACACAAGCTGGAAAGAAGGTCATGAAGACAAAGTAGTTGGCAAGAACAGACATACAGCCAAAGCAGCACATAATTTCAAGCTGTCGTACACCTAAATAAAAAGACAGTTTTTACATTTGAATATGCAATTAGCTATTCAATTGCTGAATAAGTGCTGCTGGACTAAGAAAGAAATCATTAAACTGACATTGCTGATTACAGAAGGAACTATCGAGATTAATTAAAAACAAGCATCTTAAGGCCTACTCATTGTGCATTGGCTTATTCTAAGCACAATATGTGTTTATGTAGTGACAGAAAAGTATTTTAAGGTGTAATTCTAACTGAATACAAATGAAGTTCACCAAGATTTTAAACTTCATCATGAAAGCTTGAAACTCCTTACTTATCTGAGCAAAAAAAATTAGCCAACACTATGTACTCAACTCCCTTTTCAAACATGGGATGTTCAGACAAGACGTAACAATATACACCTACTTCTTCAAAAGTATCCAGAAAAAGCCATGCTATGCATGGTGTACATGCAGTATGTACCTGCCTTAGTAAGGATCAAAGAGATAACAGGATAAATTGGTTTTAAAAAACTATACACAGCACCAAAATGAGTTTTTGTCCCTAAGATATAAAGAAGAAAACAGCTTATTAATACACAATACCCTGAAAGGACTGAAATTATTTGAAGAGCAAGTGCTAGAAGATGCTGTTAAGGTATGCAGTGTAGTTGAAAAAAACCCAAACCAAATCTTATGAAAGCAGCTGCATAGATGTTCATTCCTACTTCACAATGCTCAAGGAAAGCCATTACTAGTATTTAAAACTTTGGTTCAGCATGTATATATTATTCATATTTGCAGTAACCAGTAAAATAAGGTAATTAGGAGATAAATAAATAGACTAAGTTGCTCCACTCTCATGGCTAACACCTACTATTTGAAACTCTCCATACTCTAACGTCTCTCAAAAGGCCTTTTTTAACTAGAAACATTTAGACCCTTACACTGTATGGCTCACCTGACATGGTACCAACACCAATTACAAGACACTCCACAAGTGCATCCAGGGTAAACGTAGGGCCTAATATTGCCATCCCACGTGAAATATTTTCTCTTACTTCATCCTAGAAAGAAAGATTTCTGTCCATTAACATGAAGACAAAAACCAAACTAAGTTATACATAACATGACGAGTAAACAGAGTAGTATTATGCTGGTAAGGCCGTCTAAAACATTTATTGAAAATGAACTATTACGAGAAAGTGTACAGAGAATCTATTCTATTTCCTCTAAGTAATTATACTTTCACTATTGACACAAAATTATTTAATTTTGACTAATTTCTCTACCTTTGCCTCATCAGTATTCTAAGCTTCTACAACACTGATGGGCAGAGACATTAATTACAGCAAATTCAAAAGAACACTTCTAAATCTGAAGACATGATAGAAGGCATTTGTGCCATGGATTTCAAAATTTCTTACAATCACACATCCGTACTTCATCTACTATTACTTTACTATTTTATATTTAACTCTGTAGACTCAGCTGATAGAAAAGAGGTCACAAAAGGCACTAAAGCTTTCTGATGGGGAGAAAAGGATTTCCTCCAGAAAGCAGGCATGGTAAACTCTAGAGAGCTTGCTACTGTTTTCCTGGTGATGTTATTTTTAGGGCAGCAGGGGGGAAAAAACTGTAGAAGAAACCTATTTGTAAAATATTCTCTTAAAATTAATAAAAAATTCTGTACCTGCAGTAATCATAAATAACACAGAACACATTATATTGCATATATAGAAACTGTACATTGTAATATACACCAAATTCAAATACAACACAATGTTTGCCACAATTAATATGTGTAAATGCCATGTACAGTATTTTGTAAGCACAAAGTAATCCCAGTTAATATACTCTTAGTTCAGAATTTGGACTATTAGGAAACAAACATTACCAGGTACAACAAGCAAGATGTCCTGTCAATCTCTCCTAATGTCTCGTGTTAAATGTATTGGAGTATGGATGTTCTTGTCTGCACATATGCTACATTAGTTCTGCTAACATTTGGCCTAAAATTATGCTTCTTTTTGTAGTAACAGTGTAACATTGTATGTGTCTTTAGATACTGTTCCTGAGTCCTGGAAATTAGCTATTTCACTATCAGTAACCATTTTAAGGAAGACTTTGTCTAGGAACTTTAGCCTCCTTGGAAGAGCTGTAAGCATTGCTGGTTTAAAGTTCCAATTTAATGAAGTCATGCTCATACATACAATTAACAATGCCCATGGCTGTGCACACTAGTTTTACCATATTACTATTCACTTAAACACTGATCTGGCTTGAAGACAAGAGAACAGAGAATCTGGACAGAATTTGATCCTTTTGTTATTTATGTATCCCCAAGACATTATTTGCCTGTGTGTCTCTCCACTTGGATTACTCATACAATTATAAAATGACTTGTCTTGAAAGGGGCCTTCAAGCTCACCTAGGTTCTAATCACCTGACATGGGACAATGCTCTATTCTGAACATTAAATTAAAAATCACCATTGCAAGACAAAAAACAAAAATCCCAAAGCAAAGCACCAAACAACCAAAAAATCCTCAAAAATAACTCCCCTGCCTGACCTGTGAGTTGGAACTGAGCGCAAATTTGGCTAATGCACTTGCTCTTGACAAATCAATCAGAAGCAGGAAGAATGGTAAAGCTTCACTGAAAAAAACAGAGGCACATGTTAAAATTCAAGGTTTATGGTACAGGAAAAAAATATAAGCATGAAATCCAGAATAACAATTCATTACTTACTTTAAACCTGTCAGTTCTTTATCCAAGAAGTGAATTACCACTGTACTAAAAACAAAACTTGAGAAGATTGTGAAGAGGCCAGCAATACCTTAAAAAAACAAGAGAATAGGAAATTTTTTTGCCTATATATAGGAAGAGGAAAAGGAAAAGAAAAAAAAAACCCCAAATTCTCCCACTTTTAGATGAATCATGACAATGAATGATAATTCCCGTCTCAGTGCACTAACAGCAGTTGAGACGCAAACTGAAGGAGAAGCTATTTTTTATAGACATTAAAATCTAAAATTTGTAATGCATTCAAAGTAAGACTCAAAATAAAAGCCGTAAATCTTAAGTAAAATCTTAAACAGCCCTACAATTTTAAGTATTTCACATAATAAACAGTTATTTCAAGAATGACATTTCCAGTGTTTATATAATCCAACACAACCTTTCCCCCCCAAAAAAAAATAGTACTTTGATACGTGCAAAAGACTTTTTCTGCTATCTAGAAAATAATTAAAATAATGCTGTTGTGAACATAAGGATGAAAAGGTTAGTATTTGTTACCAATTTAGGTAAACCACGTCCCCCACAATTAAAACACATACAGCAAATACAAAAATCAGATAAAATACCTAAAATGTATTTTGATCCAAGCTGCCTTAGGTTCTGAAACTGGAAATATATATAAAGAATTGCTATGCAGCGTGTGATTGTCAGGATGATGATGTCACTGCTCAGAACATCCTGTATGAAATACAAAGTAATTTAGTTAGCTTTTACACTATGGGAAGTTCATTGTGAAATGTTAAGTTCATTGTAAAGCTGCATTAAAAGTTAAGTTCCAGAATAAAATAAATATCACTGTTAGTCTTGCCTTAAAAACTAAAAATACTAAAATGCTTGGTCACTGCATCACTGATTGCATACAGTTTTGCTAACCAAAATAAGAAGGCCATGAAGAAGCTTCTCCACAGCTACTTTACTCCTAATATATCACAGCTTGATCATATTCTATAGAAAACCCTGGATGGACTGATTAACATAAAAGAAAATTATTTTAAATCCTTACACCAAAAAAATGATTTTAAACCCTTACTTCTTCAACTTTGGGGCACTCATAATTCCAGCCACAGATCTTATCATTCCCAGTGAACATCTTCATAGACATCATGCAGATAGTGAGAGTCACTGTTCCCACAATGACTTCCCATGGATGAGAGGCTACAAAAAGGCCATGCATTCGGAAGAGTCTGGACAGCATTTTCAAGGCTGTTTCTCTATACTTTGCAAACCTGTAGCAAAGGAATACTTCGTATGAGTACAAGATTCAGTGAAAAAAGACACACCTCTACACTTTCCTGCAAGACATCCTTCAGGAAATAAAAGCAAAACCACTTAAGACAGAGAAGAGTAAAGAAACTAATCTTTACCTTTCCTACAATCATCCACGTAAAACACATTTATTTCTAATATTCTAAAATACAGTGTGATCTGCTCCTATCTTCTCAACCTTTTTTGTTGTACTACCCATCTTCCTAGTTTCTTCATGGCCTTTGCCACTGGGATTAGGTCATCTATTAGAGTAGGGTGCTAGTAAAGCCATGGTTGAGGGTTCAATCTCAATAAAGGGCATTCATTCCACCGCTGAACTCAATGACTTTTGTGGGTCCCTCCACATCAGAAGATTCTGTGATTCTAACAGTAAGGCCTCACCAGTCTCACGAGATCTCTCAAAATCTTCCTATCATACAATTTTGATACTGCTTTGAGTCAAAATCCTTGTTTTTACCTTCTATGTAAGCACTCACTCAATTCTGTTGTTTCTCTGTACTCATGCTTCCTGTCAAAAATACTGATGAGCTATAAAAATTATTAATTAACCATTACTGGTAATACTCAACAGCAGGAATTGCAATGTTATGCTTCTGACTGTGTCTTCTCTACTTTCCGTTCAATATTATTCTGTGATACAAATTAATTACAATTCAAAAATATTCCTTCTTCATCTAAAGCAAATCCTCACATAACAGTATTGTGGCAGTTCTCTTCTACATTTACTATTCCCTGTTTAATGGTGCATTTCATCATCCCTCTGCTTCCAACAGATAACAAAGGTTTACCAGAAATTTTCACAGCTGTCCTTCTCATAACTAACAATATGAATGTTCAACACGTCCTTCAGACCATATCCTGGTCTATCTGCTCTGCGTTGTTTCTTTATGCAAGTCTGCCAAAGATCTTTACTTATATTTTATACCATAGAAATAAATTGTCATAACATTCTCACATACATTAGTAACTGGACCTTCCTTTCCTCACTGCACAAAAACAACAGCTTACAAAACTGACTGTAAAGTTTAAAAAATGCTTAATAGCCTGGCTAACAGAGACAGCCTGCAATTTACATGCACCAATCTAGTACTGCAAGACTTCCATGGAGGCCTGAGGGGTCTACATACCACCACCTCAAAGACGATAAAAAAATCCATTTGTGCTGTCCTAAATGCAACAATCCATCCATAGGACTTTTGATATTACTTACTTGCTTGGACATCAAAAATGAAGCCGACATTCAATGGAGAAAATAACAGACAGGCAAATCTATCTGCCTAAGTGCTCCTGAAGATACCAGAACCATCTTGGTTTCCTACCAATACCAATCTGAATCACATGGGCACCAACAGCAATTATTTATTTTTCTTTATCCTTCCACAGTGAAGGTGTGACAGGATGTTTGTGGCTCGTAGAGCCAAACTTGGAAAATAATTGAGAAGACTGCCTTCCTTAAGAACAAATTATTTAATTTCCTAACTGAATGGCTTTCTTCAAATAAAATAAAAAACTAACCCCCTCCTTTTAAAGTTGACATTATTCCTTCTTTTTCTCTATATCATATACACGTCATTCTGTTCTGTAAATTTACGCAATTCTTGCAAAGCTGTTTCACACTGGTATTATAATTTCTCCTTAGCACAATGGAAGGTACATTTTAATTAGGAAAACTAAAATAAAACCCAGCCAGAAGAATACCTGTGCTGAAGATTTTGAAAGAACTTAAAAAATAGAAAAGGCATCACAACATCCTCTGAAAACACAAGTAATTTTGAATACCACTCTATTTCAGGAAAATCATAACTAGCAGTTACTACATGACTTTATAGAGTTCTAGCAGTCCTGAACCTAGTAATACTGCTAACACAACTACTTCACCTGTTTCATTTTGGAATGATTATCTGACAATCAAAAACCAAAATATTTCAGAATCTTTTATCGAGAAATTGTTTTTCCTATTTCTAAACAAAAATGGCAAAAGTAAAATGGCTTCATATAATTGTGTGGGGAAAATGCATTAATTCATTTATTAAAATAATGATCCATAGTATTTTATTAGTATTATTAAATGCTGCTATCCTGAAATACAGGATGCCTCATCACTCATCTTGGGGTTAACTAAGCGATACTAAGTCCTAACGTAAAATGATTCTTTAAAGTTTTTGTGTTTATTTAACCTGCCCAAAGCACAGGATGCTTTCTACTATGAAGTTGACACTTCTAGAAAATATTGATGATTTCACATAGTGATTCTGCACTACAGTGCTCTAAAAAAAATTCAATGCATAACATCAACTGGTATTTCTGTTTAAAATATTTATGCACACACACTGACTTGCAGCTTGGAATTAGCAAGACATAACATTAAATATAAACCTAAATTTAACGGCTTTGTAATTCTATTGAGTTTCAAAATGGTGGTTCAAAAGGGATGCTTTATAAATCCTGTTTGCCTTTGTTTACAATTAAAAATTTCTACGAGACTAGAAAATAAAGCAATCCATTTTGAGAACAAAAACTCAATCCCTTTTGAGAATGCAAAATATGGACAAACCCCAAACGTGACTCCCTCAAAAATTAACTAGAGTGTAAAAAGCAAACTAGACCGGTTGTATGTAAACGTTTAGAGCAATTACCACCCACGTAACAGTACGACTTACCTCTTAAATTCTTAAGGTTTGTTACACAGCTCTCACTAACCTCAGAGCAATCCTCTACCAACACCATCTATTCGATCAGCACTAATTTCCCATCTCCTGCTATCTGACTCAGCAGTACCTACAGGAGCCAAGCGGCAATAGCAGCCGACAGAAAACCCGTGCGGAGCTCACCCGGAACGCACACGACAGCACTGAGCCCTGCCAGAGAGGCAGTTTTTGTCGAACAGGCGAAACGCGGGCAGCCCGACGGCGTCAGGAGGGTAACGGGACAGCGACACGGGCATCCCCCGTACGCCACCCAGGGCGGCGGTGAAGCGCAGCGGCCGCCACTCCCTACGTGCGGCGATAGCGACGCCGCCTTTCCGAACAGGCACTCGGGCCCGGAGCCCGCCCGCCGGGCACGGCGGACGCGTGTTGCCAGCCCCACGCCCCCCCCCACCCGCAGCCCCTCGGGTCCCCGCTCACCGCCGCGCTCCAGCCGCGCTCCCCGCTCGGTCCCCGCGCCCCGGACTGCGCCGCCGGCCCCGCTCCGTCCCGCCGGCCCCGCCCCGCCGCGCAAGGACACGCCGGCGCCGCCATCGCCCGATCGCGCGGCCAATGGCGAGCGCGCGGCACGCCCCGCCCGCGCGCGTCACCCGCCGAATCGCCGCGGCAACGGCCCGGCGAGAGCCGCGCGGCCCCACGCGCCATCAGGAGCGGCGAACACGCCATCGCGCCATCGGCCGCCCGCCAATGGGGCGCCGCTCTCCCCGCCCCGCGCCCTCTGATTGGGCGGCTTGGGGAGAGCTGCCGCCACCTCCCGGGCCCGCCCCGGGCCGCGCTCAGGGCGCGCCCCGCCCCCGCGCTCGGGCCGGGGCCGTGTCTGGGTTTGGGGCCGAGTCTGGGTCTGGGGCCAAAGGCAGAACCAGAGCGAGCTCCCCTGCACGCCTCCAATACCGCCCGGTCATACCGCGCTTTGCTGAGGCATGGAAAGCGTGTACATTCCCAGTTCCTGTTTTTGGGAAGCAGCGGTGCCCCTGACTCCCTGGGGAAGTGGTGGGAGGAAGGCAAAGGCAAAGTAATATATTTATATTTGTGGCTTTCGGCAAGAGAGGAAGTGCAGGTTTTGGTTCACGAAGCATAGGAAACTCTGAGAGACCCACCAGGAGGCGTTCGTGTGTAATCTGTGCTAGGTGGTCTTTAGATGGTCTCCCGAAGTCCATTCCATCTCTAGCGATTGTGAGGTTCTCCTGGGGCTGTAAAACAGCACTGCAGAGTGGCAGGGGCCGTTTCGTGTTCCTGGGGCTGAGCATGTTCAACTGCAACACAAATACCTGCAGTGGTTTTGCGGTGCATGATCTGCGCCCCGGCTTTCCCCAGACTGTGTCTTACACGTGCCACCTCACTTGGAAATATTTCTACTAGCTCCACATGGCACTGTGCCCTGAAACATTAATGTGAACCTCAAAAAAAGGAAGTGCTGATGAAAAGGTTTCCAAAGAACTCCACCCAAAGTAGTTGTGAGTGATGAAATCGTGCCATCTCTTTTAACCTGTAAATGCAGTTTTCATTCTCATCTTCGGTATGATGTTCCTAAATCTTAATAATTTATTGCTGCATATCCATCTCCCCTGATAGCTTCTTTAGTGGTTTTTTTCAGTATCTCACCTTCATTAGCTGAAAAGTGTAAAGTGTTAGCAATGAGATTTCTGGACTCTAATATGTGTTAATATGTGCACCAATTGCTGTAACTGCATATGCATATGACTAAGCCAAAGCAAAACAGCAATTCATACAGTTTCAACAATTATATGCAATTCACATATCATTTAAGATGTCCTTTTGTATTTCTGCTGTTTCCCACTTTTTCCATACACGTGATTTGGCAAATAATAAAAATTCTAATTCACCAAGGTCACTGGGAGCAGGCATCACTATGGTGATTTGGGGTCTGTAGACTCTACGAGTACGTTGCCACCTGTACTGACATTGAATTCTCACATCTGCAGCTCTGGCGGTAGCCTGCCTCCAGCCTGGCCATGTGCTGGAGTGGCCTTGGGGGCAGCGCTGCCCCCCTGCCCAGGAGATGGCAGCCAAAGCTGAGCGAGAGCAGCTCTGCCTGAGGAAAATGTTGTTGTAATTGGCAGACGACCACTGAAGAGTGCTACTGCAAATGCTGAAAATACTGTCAACTAATAATTTGGTTATGTCAAACTTGTTCCCGCTCATGAGCACACAAACCATTCCTTGGTAGCAATGAAGTAAGCTACTTAACCATGGCAGAGAAGTGTTGCCAGTTTAGGGACTCTCTAAACACAGGTGCAGAGCATAGTTTAGAAAGGAGACATTGCTTATTCTGTGCAGGGTACGTGGTGAAGTTTTCCACAGATAAAGCAACCCAATCCTTGAAAATTTGCAATATATATATATATATATATATATATAAGAAAACATATAAATCACAGATAATTTGGTTACAAGTTACTTAGTTCTCTTTTTAATTAGTATTCTACCTTGAATAAATTGAATGATTCTCTTGTTTCTCATGCTAATGTTTCTGCATGCTCACCGTTTTCAAGTAGGTGGGTTTCTTGAGATGGTAGTTCGTGAGTTACTGGTTGAAATCTCTCACTGTGAGACTTAAGAGCCCGTGAATTGGCACTGATCCATCGCATACAAACCGCACCTGCAGCACCAGCCAGGTGACAAGAGGCACAGCAGTAGCCAACAACTCAACAGGAACTCTCAGGACCTGTAGTAATAGTACAAGGAGAAATGGGTACAAATTGATGGAAGGGGAATTTAGATTAAATATTAGGAAGAAAGAGTTCCTGTGAGGGTGGTGAGACATTGGAACAGGTTGCCCAGGGAGGCTGTGGATGCTCCAACGCTGGCTGTGTTCAAAGCCAGGCTGGACAAGGCCCTGAGCAACCTGTTCTAGTGGGAGGTGTCCCTGCCCATGGCAGAGGGGATTGAGCCTAGATGAATTTTAAGGTCCCTTCCAACCCCTTAACATAATCTGATTCTAAGACCCCAGACTATGCAGTCAACGCCCAAGTTATCCTTCATTCAGAGTCCGCGCTTTGAGGCTGTCTGGCCTTTTTTGACTGATAAGACAGCGTTTCACAACCCCCTTTTCACTCTCTGTAACTCTCTGGGCAAGGAACAGTTGCTGACTCTTGAGATCCCAACGTCAGAAGCGCACACACTCGGAGAAGTGAGTCCCGTCTGATCACACACAGCACGGTGTGTGCTGGGACTCTGCGGTTCTGGCGAGACCGGTGCCACCCGAGGGGCAGCGAGGCCCGGCCACAAGATGGCGGCCGGCG